TCATCACCCATGAGTTTATATAGTTATATGATATATGCTAGTTGTTATAGTTATAGTTACGTTGTGAGGGTAGTGACTCTTTTGAAGGAGGCTACTCTCACTAATTGTGGTACTGGGACTAGTTAAATGATGAATTATAATAATTTATTCTTATATTTCAACTGTTAAACTAGGTACAAAGAAGGAGATGATGATGAGAAAGGGTGAGATAAGATGGGAGGTTAACAACTAAGAGTCTGCTGGGACAAATCCTGGCAGACTACAGTTAGTTGACTCTTAAAGAAGAGGTTTTTATTTGTTAATGATGAAAAGGGTGAGAACAGGATCCCAATGTTCTCCAATATCCTTCTTGGTACTGGATAAGGAGTGATTATAAAGATCACTATCTTGGTTATCTCTTAGAGGTCACCAACCTGTTTGGTTATTATCTTGGAGGTCACCAACCTATTGGTTATTATCTCAGAGGTCACCAACCTAGTATATAAACTACTTAGGGGAAGTAGAGGATCCAGAAGTGAAGTGTATAACTTACTAGGATCTAGTCAGGAAAGATCAAGGTATATAGAATGAATCACTAGTATTACTATTTGTAATACTCTTGATTGTTATTCTAATTGAACTCTTGATGGTTCTTTAGAAAGTGGTATGTATAAAACTTGGTTTCTTCTCTGAGGATGAACTGAGTTTTGGTTTATATATTCAGCTCTTTAAACCTAATATTGTGATATACACAAGTGTTACAATATTAGGTTTATAGTTATTATTTTTATTATTTTTATAATTACTTACACTTAATGTTATGTTCAGTAGTCATTAAGTGTTTTATGCTATATAAGCATTTTTAACTCTTGATACTGAGTTATGAGATGTTACTACTGTTTTTTTGTATGTAATCTTATATGTTACATATTAGTTCTTGATTACGTATATATGTAATTAGTGTTTTATACATATCTTATTACATGTTACATATATTTCTAAGATATATGTACATGTATTTGGGTTTTATGAGTAATATTTATATTTACAAGTTAGTCTTTGGGTACATGTGTATGTACCCAGGGCTGACATACGTAGTGTACTCAAGTTCCTCACCGTGAAAGAAATCCATATCTTATGTCTTTTTCTCATTGATCAACCGCTCAAAAGAGTGGTGCGGAGCGCTAGCGGAGCGGCAAAACCGCTCCGCTCCACCCAAGCCCAATTTTTTTTGAAAAAAAGCGGAGCAGGTGTGTGGCGCTCGAGCGCAGTTGCTCCGCTCCGCCCCCAAAACTGGTCAAAATCCAGAGCGGTGCGGAGCGGTTCCAGTATTGCCTGTCCGATTCGAGGCTTGCAGGTTATGTCGGAGGAATGGCAAACCACTTTGGGCAAGATAGGGTGACGTGGTTGGTCCTCTCCCTGGGTTCGTCCATGTCCAGATCGAGAAGCTAGAGGCGGATTTCTGGCAATATTGGAAAGGATTGAAGGGCCTAGGGTTGCTTGATTGCCAAATCTGGTGGCAATCAGCAGTAATATAGCCTGTATACACATACAGTTTACGCAACACACGCTACTTAGAGCATCCACTATCATGACAGTGTTTTATCGTAAATTTTGCGGTCCCAACCGCGAAATTTAATCATGTGTGTAACAAATAAATTGGTAAACGCATGAAATCCACTATGAGCTGCTTTACGATTGGATTTACCAATGATAAATCACTGTGAATCAACCAGATCCACAGTGGTATGATTTTGAAATGAATCATCTCATTTCTTGTAATCTTCATCCCAAAAAATCACTCATAATCGCAATGCCCTCTTTGTTGAAAAGACAAGTGACAATGAGGAACAACAAGAGTATGACCAACTGGCCTTGGACTCTTGTTTGATGAACCTGGTATGCCACCTCTGCCTTCTCACACTCACATCCGAATTGATCAAGATGTATCAATACCGCACTCAATGTTCTCCAAAACTATACAATGACTTGCCTAACACTAGATATGAAGTCAAGTTCAAACATAGATCACTAGGATAATCAAAGAACTACACATGATTGATTTCAACTTGTTAAATCTTGGCTGTTGCTATTTGCAGCCCACAAGAAAACCATGTAGGCGCTGGCCAAATTACGCCTACATGGGTGTTTCCCGCGAAGAAGCGCCTACATTTATGATGTAGGCGCTGGAAACCATCCAAAATGACGCCTACATGTCAAAAAACCCATGTAGGCGTCATTTGGTTACGCCTACATTCAAAAAATGAAATGTAGGCGCTATTTTCAAGTGCCTACATGGGAAATCCAATGTAGGCGCTCAAAATTTATGCCTACATTTTTAAAAATGAGCGCATACATTCAATTTTCAGCTCAAATAAGTGCCTACATGCAGTCCTGCATATGTAGGCGCTACAAATCCGGCAACTACAACTCCAGACTGGTCTGAAGGGTAATGAAGAACAATTTTCAAGTCAAAATGAGAGTATTGGAAGATGGAAAAAGCAGTTTGGACTCAAAATGAGTGTATCGGAAGACAGATAAAGCAGTTTGGAGTCGAAATCAGTGTATCAGAAGACGGAAAAGTCACTCCGGAGTCAAAATGAGTGTATCAGAAGACGGAAAAAGTAGTAAATTATTTCAACTCTGAACTCAGTTTGGAGTCAAAATGAGTGTATCAGAAGCGGAAAAAGAAGTAGATTATTTCAACTCTGAACTGCTATTCACGTCTTCTGATACACTCACTTCAGAGTTGAAAAGAGCATATTCATCTTCCAATATGCTTAACTGCTTTTTCCATCTTCCAAAACACTCATTTCAACTCCAAGCTGCTTTTTCCATCTTCCGATACACTCATTTCAACTCCGAACTGCTTTTTCGGTCTTCCAATACTCTCATTTTGACTTGAAACTTCTTCTTCATTAGCCGTCAGACCAGTCTGGAGTTGTAGGTGTTGGATTTGGAGCGCCTACATATGCAAGACTGCATGTAGGCGCTTATTTGAGCTGAAAATTGAATGTAGGCGCTCAAAAATAGCGCCTACATTTCAAATTAGATATGTAGGTGCTTGAAAATTACGCCTACATTCTGAAATTTTGAATGTAGGCGTAACCAAATGACGCCTACATGGGTTGTTTATCATGTAGGCGTCATTTTCAATGGTTTTCAGTGCCTACATCATAAATGTAGGCGCTTTTTCGTGGGAAACACCCATGTAGGCGCTGCCAAAACAGCGCCTACATGGTTTTCTTGTGGGCTGCAAATAGCAATGGCCTAAATCTTTAGAAAGGAAGAGTTCATTCTTACATATTATCAGGACAACAAACATTATCGAATGAATCAAGAACCAAATTGAGAAACTATTTAAAAGAATCAAATCTTGAATTAGTCGGATCGATTAATGAAGATTATGAAGATCTTATTGGTGTGGGAATGGGATTGAGATGGATGATGGATAGAAGTATGACACAAATCGAAAGGGTAGCTATTCAACAAACCAATCAAAGATGAGAACACTCGAAGTTGAGTCTTGGGGATGAGTTTTGAAGTTTGAACTTTGGAGTTGAGGGTTTGAGGGTTGAAATTTGAGATTTGAAGTCTTGGACTGTGGAGTTTTGAAGTTTGAGGTTTTGAAAAATGTTGTTGTTAACCGGTTATCCTACAATAAATCAAGTCGTAGGCTTGCGCAGATTTGAACAAGTGGGATGCAAGAGTTGACACAGTCGTACGGACCGCAAGTCTAAAACAGGTCCATAGTGGACCTGTCTATAATTTAGTGTTAAAGTTATGATAAATCACTTGGTTACCGCACCCATAGTGGATGCTCTTAGCGTGTTGCGCCGCAGCTGCTGCTGTAGCCTAGCGACAAAAAAAAGGCTGAAACCTAAGCCAGGTTATGCTGCTTAACACCCGCAACAAATCCTCCCTTACGGGATAATGCTGCTGGCCATTGAAACCCGCTAGGCAACGTTATGCAACGCTACGGATAACGTAGCTGACCCAGGGTTTATTTGATCAAGTTGATTATTGAGAAGATTAGTTTAAATAAATGATTGATAAGAAGATGAAAAAGTTGATTGATGAGAGGGTGATAGAAATTGAAGGATAGTAGAGAGTGGTTTTAGGAAGGGGGTGATGCATTCCTTAGTAGAATCAGTAGATTTGGTGGATACAAATTCAGTACAGATTCTGTAGAGGTGCAGTACTAGAAAATCTGTAGGTACTGATCTGTACTTTGTAGACAATTGGGGATTTTTGGCCTTACAGGTTGGTATGAGTATTGACATATGGGAATGGGTCGGGGAAAGGGTGTTGGATAATGATGTAACCGTATCATGTCACCACATCCACTCCTTGTAGATGAAACTATATAGCTACTCATTCATAGAATGGCAATCTATGATTTCACAAGAAGAGTTGGATGAAAGGGATGAAGGCAATTCCCCAATTCCCAACTTCTTCATCCTAAAATTATAATCTAAAATCTATCATCTTTTTACATCCATTTCATTATCCTAGATTCTTTCCTGTCTTGAAGAATTTTAGTAGATAAAATTATTTACCTCCCACCCGCCCTACATCATTAACATTTTTGCATCATTTTTCTTCAGAAAAAATCAGAAAATAGTAGTTTAGTATAAGTTGTTGTTTCAGTCTTAATTTTATCAAAAACACATATTTTTATTGTTGTAGGTGCGAGAAATGCGCAAGCTGCCCTCATAGAACTAGAATTTGTTTTCTTATCTTAAGTTTATGTCCTAGTTGCGCTTTTCTAATTTCTGTCAGGTCTAGTTCACATCATGCTGATTAAACCTGACCTCGCGGCTGTTTAGAGTGATCATGATACACGTAGTATCCAAAACCAAAGAGACCCATTCCTAGTGCAGTAAGTTTCAGTCAAATTTACAGTACCGAGGTCGTTTACAGCAACAACGGTGGATGCTCTAAGTCTGCATTAAGTCTGCATTTGTCTGAATTAATTCTGCATTATTTTTCATTCTGTGCATTAAACTCAATCATATTTTACCTTGAGAAATGTATTCTTTTTGCAGTGTGAATTGCAGGTGTCTTATTGTAATTACTTTGAGATTAGTGAGCTAAGATACTGATGTTGATACAAACCATTCCCACTTCGCATCTTCAAAGGCTATGGTATGGAGCTGCAATGCAGATTACAAAAGTTACGTAAAAGGAACATTTCAAAAAGGAGATATCAAAATTAGAGGACAGAAGAATGAATGGATTCAGTACAATAAGACCGAGGTTAGGCTGATCAGTCAAGGCTATAGATATCGATATTATGCTGCAGTAGTTTCGTCAGATTTACGAGTGTGTGTGACTTTCATGAGCTCGGGGGTTGCGAGTTCAATGATGGAATGAGTTACATTCGCCCTCCGTAGACCGTCTAAGATCAAGAACAAGGTACTTTGGAAGGTGATCACATCAGTCCTGTGACATCTGAACGTATGATGACCACTCCGCTTACATGTTTCCCAAGGTTGCAATGGTATTGTTCATGCCCTGTAGAATTGTAAAAAGTATGAGAAAAAGGAAAGAAGGCGTGTAGATCTTGAATATACATAATGCAACTTACAATACGAAGTATAAGCCAAAAGCTAGGATTGAAAATGAATTGACCTTTCTGAACTAAACACGCCTTGAGGGAAATGTAAAACATAAGATAAATTCAAGCAATCAAATATGTACATTTGGATTTGACAAGAAAATGTAGGCTGAAGTTTAACACATACTGCGGAAATTACTAGAAGGAGATTTAAGAATATGATGGCAAATTCTATCACGGTATTTGCAAAGACTCCTTCCAGTTGTCGTTTCACTGAAACATCCAACCCTCTTCGATTCTTGAAACTTTGGAATACCGAATATACAAATGGAATATAGAGCTGATAAAGATTGAAGCATGCGTTTTTAGATTGAGATATCTTGCCCATGAATGAAGGACTTACCAAAAATGTTAATGCATTGAAGAAGATATAAGAATCTAAACCCGCCACGGTGAAACGCACCAAAAGATCCTGATTGAAGGAATGAACTTACATCTTCAGCTGTACTCATACCACTACATTTCAAAAAAGAACTGACGATATGGGGAAATGCCCGTTCGAGTTTAACGACTAGAGGTAGCACGCGAGCCGCGCTGCAAGTGGATGGTGTACAGGCAGGGGCCGACTCCCGTAGATATTGAACAACGGGCATCGCCAGCTCTCTGACGCGGTGATACTCCAGGGTGAGTTGGAAGAAGTAGGTGACAATCGCCGCTGAGATTTGAGGAGAGTTTTAGAGAGTTTCATGTACCGTTGCATTGAAAGAATATGTAAGCTTACCAGTAGGTGCAAATACAATTGCCATCAACGATATATTCAATGCCCATGTTGCTGTGGTTGAGAGCAATCTTCCCGTGGGATTCATGCTTT